CGAAGAAACCCTGACTGCGACCTGGGAAGCACCGCGGGGGAACATCGGAACATCGGAGAAGGGGTCCACCGAAGCTCGCGAAAGGGTCCGCTGAGGCGGGTTCGCAACCGGAGCCACTCCGGGCTGCGGAGCACCCAGCGGATCCCACGCCTGGCACAGGTGTGGGACCCCGTCCTTCCTGTCCTCGCAGAGGAGTCCTCGCGTGGTGAGTATGCGGTGAGAACGTTTTTTGTTCTTTTTTTTTTTTTTTTTTTAGATCACATTCAATCTCCGTTCTTATCGGGAGATGGAGTAGCGCCTCGGAATATCTCCACGCAAACCCTTGTCACGCCTTCACTGGCTGAACCCCAAAACGGAGTGGAGAAACGAAGCCTTCAGGGCTTTGATTTCCAGAATCGATAAGTCCAGATATGGGCTGTAGACAGACATGAGCTGCGGACAGATATGAGCTGCAGACGGACATGAGCTACAGACCAATTTGGAATTTGCTCTTCAAATGCGCTAAGTGATACGCGCTACAAACTAATTGGCGCTTCATGCGCTGCAGAATGATAAGCGCTTCAATTGCGCTAAAGGCTGATAAGCGCTTCATTTGCGCTACAAGCCAGTAGGAATTGCAGCGATATATGAGCTGCAGATTGATTTGCGCTTTAAATGCGCTACAAAATCTGAGCTGCAGAAGATTAGCGCTACAAAAATGATCGCACTACAACAGCGCTTCATCGAGCTACAAGCTACAATGCACAGGAACTGCAGAGGTACATGAGCTGCAGAACAATTTATGTCCTCAAATGCGCTACAAACTAATAACAGCTGCAGAGATATGCAAGCTGCATTGGCGCTACAAAGAAACCAGATGTAGAGGGATATAAGCTGCAGAGTAAAATTACTCTGGCTTCTTAGAGGGGGGAACCCCACCCTTTGTCTCTAACATACCTTTTGGAATGGTTCCCACTACGTTTTTCTGCAGGTCGGTTCTCTGCGCGCTGGTGGTGGTAGACAAAATGGAGCCCCAGGCAAAAAATTAACGTTTAACATTCTGCCACACCATTCCTGCTATAGAGCAGTGGAGTGGAGGGGCCCTGACTTGAGTGTAAAGGGGAATATTTTGGTGGTGGCAGAGCGGGCTGCCTTGCCTAGTTGCGCTTGATTGAAGCGGCGGTGTAGTTGTAGTGATGGCGCGAATCCGCGTCCAGCAACAGTTTGTGGAAACTGTTGGTTTGCTTAGTATTGGGGAGGGATTGGATCTGGAGGGGATCGCTCTTGTTGCATGAAATGAATCTGGCTGTTGGAGACTGGTGGGAGGGGTGTCGGGAGGGGGGATCCTGGGAGAGGCTTGCAGCCAGTCTCAGACCTGCCCCGCCCATTCTAGCGCGCCTTCTCTGCAGTATCGGCTCCAAGCCGGCTTAGCGCCTCCTAGCGCCTACTGCGAGCGCGCCTCCTCTGCAACGCGCCTCCTCCGCAGCGCGCCTCTTCTGCAGCGCGCCTCCCCAGAGCGCGCCTCCTTGGAGCGCGCCTTCCCGGAGCGCACCTCCCAGAGCGCGCCTCCCCAGAACGCGCCTCCCTGGAGCGCGCCTCCTAGACCCTGCCTCCCCCCCACACCTCACTCTGAGCCCGCCTCCTCTGAGGCGGCTCACAAGACCCCGCCTCTCTCAGAGCCCCCGCCTTTGAGGTGGCTCCCCCAAACCCCGCCTCTCTAAGCCCGCCTCCTCTGAGGTGGCGCCCCCCCAGCCCCGCCCAGGCCCTGCCTATCCAAAGCTCGGCCCCTCCTCTGAGTTGGCCTAGGGCCCCGCCTCCCCAGAGCCGCCTGCGCCTGCGCAGTGTGAGCTACCCCCCCCAATCAGGCCCATCTCTGCGCATGCGCGCCTTCACTACCTGAGCCTGGCTGCACAGCCCCGCCCTCCTGCGGTTTCTCTGCTGCGCGGTTTTGCTTTTTATCCACAAGTGTCTAATAAATATGAGAATAATAAGGAACAGTTAATAATAATTATACCTGAAGTTCATAAGCACTTTTTATAAGTGCTTTGCATATTAAGTAACATAATCCCACAATTTAAATTCTTGATAGTGGGTTTTAAAGGATGCTTCTATGCTGACATGGCTGGCGCCTCTAAAGGCAATCCAACTAAATGTTATTACTACAAATAAAAAATAAAATGTTTTAAATACGCCAACATTTAAGATTGTTGGTTTTGTTTTTTGTTTTTCTTTTTGCGACATTACTGGATTTTTGTGGCGGTACCTGCTGGAACCCCATGCCTTGGTGGATACAAAATAAACGACTTGAACTGTTTCATAGGAGGTTAAAGTAGCTTACTGGTGTTTGGCCTCTGGGCGAGGATGAGGTGTTTATTTGTGTGCTCATGAAGCTGGATTTTTTTTTCTTGAAACTCTAGGATATTAGCTCCGGCTAACTTGTCTACATATTTATTAATTGTGCCTGGCATATGGTAGGCACTCATTAAATATGTGTTAAGTGACCAAAGTAAATTGTTTTGTTCGGTGTTTTCCTTGGAGTCTGCAGGATTTTTCTGGTGTCTTGCTCCTGGCTCTTTCCTGTGGTATATTGCTTGCCTTATCTCCCTTACATTTAACAGGATCTTTAAAAAAGTATGCATCTTAAAACTCCAATGTAAGCTGTAATTATAATACAACACAAATAAATTAATTTAAAATACTCAAAATAATTAGCTATTTTTAAAGTAAAAAGCAAAAGCTAATTATTTAAATTCAGGGTGGATGGATTATTTAATGGTACATAATTGTCATTTAAAATTTAAAATTTGTGTCATGTAACAAAGTGGTTACATTACAAAATATAGATTGATTTTAACTGGCATTATTAAACATCATTTTAAAACAAATCCATACTTTATTGCCAGTCAGATGTACCATGTTTACGTTTCTAACTAAAGGAAGAAATTTTAAAGCCTGGTTCTATATATTATAAACCATGAACCAAGACTTTGTCATGGGAGGGATTTGGGGGCTTTGGCTTCCCAAAATCTGTCACATCCCACCCCACCCCCAACAAGTATACAAACATGTACTTATCATAATTACAGCTTTCAGTAAGTCCCCTTTTACCCACATTGGCACCCTGACCCGCTCCCCCTCCTTGGAAACTTTGTATCTGCATTTTAAAGAGGTTCAAAGCAGTGGTAAAAACATGTGCATATTAATGAACTTGCATTTCACAAAAGTACACATAGTACTCAAAAAGAAATTTGGACATTTGAAAACATAAAGCAATTAAGAGTTGCTTAATGAAGTGTCATTTCCTAACAGAATGTTTAATGTACAGCGGTTTTTGGTGTGTTTGGGGAATAAACATTTTTAGAGGTCATCCTGAAGAGGCAAAGATTAAACAAACGTACGTATTTCTAAAAAGACTAACACGAAACTCTTTTTCGTATGTAAAAATGTCACCTGTCCCAGGTGACTTGGCTTTATGCTGGGTGTCCTTTCAGGTTTTAGCAATGGGGCCTCTTGACCCCTGTCTCCCCAATCTGGCCCCGTATTAAGGGGGCATTTAAGGAGCTATCGATCTATAATTCAAATCCAGTCACAATGCTCCTGTTCCCTTATTAATCTGTGCTCCAGTTGCTGTTAAAATGTTTTAAAACTTTCCTTACACTGAAAGTTAACCTACCTGCCCACTACCCTATCATCTTTTTTAAGACTTCGAGTCCCACTCCAAAATTACAGTTCCTGAGAGTGGGGGCTGAGGCCTGATATTAGTAAAGGTCAGGGGTCACAAGCTGGTGACTAAATAAGGCCCTGAATTTGTTTGACCAGCACTGGATTTAAATTTTTTTAAAGAATTGAATGTATTTGGGAGGGGAGGCATGTATCCCCCAGTTACATAGCTGCAGCCCCTCCCTATTGTCTGAACTTCAGGTCTCTTCTCGCTTTTCTTTTATCTTCCTGTCTACTAAAAACATTTGAATTTTAAACCCTTATTGATCTTGTTTCCCTAAACAATTCAGTGATTATTTGCTAATTTCCTAATGTGTTGTTATTTCTGACCTACCATTGTGTTTTGCAGATGTTAAAACCATCAGACCTGGGCCTCAATAAAGCCAACTCACTCCAGTGACTGTGATTGACATGTAGGTTAACCTCTCTGACCTGGGTCAGTCTGCACCAGGCCTTTTCAGAAGTCTGTATTTTCACACTCTGAATATCTAGATGACAGAAATGGCACCTGAGTCACCTGACCTGTGCTTATTGGTTTTTTAATGGTACAATAAAAATCTTTATTCCTTAACTTTAATAAACAAACATTACATTATTTGGTGACCTTATATTCTGAGTGTCACCAATACAATTGTCTTTAAGGTGTTGGAAGTGAAACTAAATATCAAACTAAGGTGTGTTAATTGCATCTTCTACTTTTTTAAAACTTAAATATTTTACCTTGAAGGTCATTTATTCATTATTTTTATAGCCTAAGTTATTAAGGTAATTAAATAGAAAGTTAAAACTATTAAAATGGCACAGTAAATCTGTCCCTTAAGGACTCTGCATGCTGTATAGCCACTCCTTGGGGAGGCCACACCCACAGCAAAGGGCACAGGGCATATAGGGCGGCAGTTTTCCAAAAGTGAGAATTTAATGATCATTAAAGAAATAATTGAAAAGTTAAAATAATTTAATTACATACATTTACCCCTGTATTCGGGAAGAATATAGGCACTGTGTGATGATTTATTGTATGTGTGATTTATTGTCACCAT